GGGGTGGGCCGGCTAAAGGCTAATTGGCCGTCTATCGCTACGTGGGAGCGCTGAGCGCCGGGAAATGGGTACTTAGCACCCAACAGTCGCCGAGCGACAGGAATTTGTCATCCAATATTCCCAGGACATGCATAACGAAGGTATTCGCGCAAACACACACTATTTAAACATTAAAATTATGCCGTGTTCACGTTAAGAACTTCATGAATTTATTCTCAGAAAGGAGTTCGATGGAGTTTTTTCGGGGGGAAAAAATGAAGACTAGCAGACTTTAGCAGTTGTCAGGAATCAGACGGTATTGCTGTTTTGTAAAGCATGTAGTATGTATATTAGTGACCCTATGAGAGCAGGGATCTTTGCAACAAGAGCCTCTTGGTGAGCGAAACTGCGCTAAGCTCTTGACCCTCTTATGCTGTCGACTCATCAAATGATGGTTTAGGTGACTGAGTGAGAACATCGAATCCAGATTTTTAGAGATCAGTTGGGGTTATGTTAAGAGATTTCAGATATTTGTCTTTCAAAACGATATCAATAATTTTACACTGCACATGGTTCGATGCTGCAGTTATGTTCGCTGCAACAATTGACATATTTGGAGGACTCAAGCGGGGCATCCCCTTCACAAATGTGCTTTTTACGAGAATACTACACTCGTAGCTTCATTCGTGGGTTTTCTTTTTTTTCGCTGTGTAATCGGCAAGTTTGCTTGTGAGACTGGCATGTGTAAGAACTCATGAATCATTAAACAGTTTTATTTCAAAATTCATTTTCTTATTTTGTTGATCCGGTGCCTGCTTTGAATTGCATTGCTCGTTACCGTTAAGCCAATGTCTCAAAGGTAGCGTGTATGTTCCTACAATAATGGTGGGTGTGGGTACTACCTTCGGATTTCCTTCTGTTTGATAGACGAGGAAAGATCTAAGACGACTCAGACTCCATCCCAGACGATTTTCCAGTGGCCGATTGAAAGACGCAGTCGTTGAATGGCTGAATGAGCAGGGCGCTGCTTTCTAACGTCAAGGCGTGGAAGACCTCATTTTACGCTTTGCTTAAATAATGCTTAAATAAAAAGGCGCCGAGATAGAGTGTTTTTTATACTTGCTTGCCTTTATATGCCCATGAAATTTCGAAAATAAAATCTTAAAATTTCGTTAAGTATGTTATGTCTCTTGAACTACACATCTTGAGTAGTCCCATCTGTCTTTGGGCCCAAGTAGGCGACAATTGCCTTCTCAACAAACATGACGTAACACGCGAACCCCACCATTCCCCTGACTACATCCACCAACCTTTGGACTGCTATTTGTGCATACATCCTGAAATTAAATGTAATCATGGAATATAAACAATCCCGGGTACGATTTTGAACAGTTAATCTGTAATAAACATTCAAAATCAAGAAAGTAATAAGCAGGAAAAATCCTTAATTTAGAATTAGAAAACGCTTATTAATATCAAAAATGTGAATAATTTACTTTGAAAGAAAAACTGAAATAACGAGAAAGCTATCCATCAGTGGATATTGGGTTGTTATGTTCAGAAGAAAACAGAAGAAGCAGATAAATGTTAATTTGTTAAAAGTTTGCAATAACCACAATCCAATTCGTACCAGATGTAGTCCACTTTATCATTTATACAGGAGAAAATACTGAGACCGCAGCACTGTCGTCAACTTCGGTAGATGTCCCAACTCGCAGCACTGTTCACCAATACTCCAAAACATCAATATTTCCACGCACAATTCGACGTAGAGAGTAGACAATACACCTCTGATACCAACTCTCTCGACGCAATCTCACTGCTGCGCTGTTCCCTCGCCTTCTGTACCCCGCTGAGACAGAGGCTCAATATTTTAGCGAACGGTTCGCTTGTCGCAGCTGACTTCGCTGTTGGTGCTCTTCTTCCTTGCTCACTGCTTGCCGCTTTTCTCACAGTTTGCGTCCCGCGACTCCTCCCGCTACTACGCGATGTTTAATTTCCCTCACGCCTCTGAAGGGGGCTGTCGGAACTCGTAGCAAACACTATCACTCCGCTGGTGTAGCAAAACATGACTCCACAAGGGGCGAATTCGCCGCCTCGTCGAAGTGCGATTCAAATACTCTACACGCAGAGGATACTACGTCCTTTTTTCAATTTTGGTGGACACGAAAAGAAAGACAAACAGTTGTCTCACAAAAATTTAGAATCATTACTTCTCATAATGCTTTGGTAAGATCACATCACAATATATTGGGCCAAAAATGTTATTTGTCGCTATCCAAATATAAATCACAATAGAATTTCAGGTGTTTATATCTCAGTTCCTCTGCATTCACAAAGCAGTTAAATTCCCCTTTTTCCTTTCTGATTCACAACAAAACGTAGTGTAGAGCGACCCTTTCCTTCTGCCCAATGTTGAGAAACGCGGTGTTAGTAGGTCACAGATAACGGGTCTGTTTCCCGCAGGCGTGGATCCAGTAGCGGTCTGAATGTGTTGGTAAACATACTTTTATCCGATACGTCATGTTTAGGAATGGTATTCATGTACTGATGTTTGAGCGTTGTCGTCATAAAAAACATAAACATAAAGTATGTTGGCCTATTTCTTGTTGAAATATAAGTTTAGGGCATTTTCACGCGAAATGCATATCGACGAGAAGTTGTAAGGGGAATAGTACAGACAGCTAAAATGCCGGTTCCTAATTTGTTGAGCTGCTTAATTCGAGGTTTTTCCAATCACTCTGCGTTGACTATATGTTTTTATGCTATTATTTATTTGGAACAATGAACTAGTGAACATTTGCATGTTCAGTTTCTTTCTTACGCCATTTAGAAAATTGTCATTATTAATAAACAGTTTCATTGAACATCCCACATAGTTGTATTGTTCAAAAAAAGAACAATTCTTTACAATTACTATTTTACTGTGGAGGTCAATTTAACGAAAGTTACTACTTACGGTTGTGCGTTATATCTCTTCCTGTCAATTTCATGGTAGTCTGCCATTTCGTAACTTAAAATGTGAATTTGCAAACATCTTTCCCGTATATCACATAGGGTTCATCGTTAAATTACTTACATTATTATAGGAAAATTATACAGCGAAAAATCTACATCTGTTAGTCTAAAGTATAAACGCAATATTTCGAAACATCGATAATTTCGACCCTACAGAATGAGAATTGCTGAATTCCAAAAACACCAGAAAGAAAAAGAAGGAAAGAGTAAAATGCGAATTAACAAGGAACTCGATTTATACAAGTTCTGTTTAATAGAAAACTAAAAGTAAAAAAAAAGGAAAGCTTCTCCCAAGGTGAAGCTACCTCCACCTGCTACCAGGATAGTTCGAGTGCGTCTCGGGGGAGGGGAGGGGAGGGGAGGCAGTCGTGTAAGAGTGTGTCGTCCGTACCGCGAGGGCGTGAGGTGTCGCACTTGCATTCGCGTTGCTCGGCAACCGCCTTATCTCCCGCCCGCGATAAGGCCGGCACGCGCCGACAGCGCCTTTGCGGCCGCCCGCGCGCGCGCGCGCGCACTTGCCGAGCGGCCAGGCAGACGACCGCGCCTCGCCTCGCCACGGGACGGCGGACGGCGCGACGACGCGTGACAGCTGAGCGGCCACTTTGCGCGCGCCCGTGCTTGTACCGGTAGGGCGACTTGCTTGTATTGTTTTCATGAGTCACGGCTCTGCGGAAGAGATGAATCTGTTGTACCTTAGTGTGTGCGGGTTATGTGTGCTGGTAGGACAAATTGCTTCTATTCTCTTCATGTGGCACTGGAATTTGTGACACATCTAGTACTCGTATTTGTGTTTTGTGTAGGGAATCATGTACAGGTAGGAGGTCTTGCTTGTATTGTATACATGTGTTTACGCTCTGAGGCTGTAATTGATTTATTACATTTTAGAACTGCGTATTATTTGTGGCGAAGCTTATTGCGGAAAGAAGACTTCGCTTGATCTTTTCATTTGTTACAACTGTTTTTCATTTATTGGTAGGTGAGTAAGGTTTGCTCAGAAGTGTCAGTGGTCCTGAATAATCCTGCACTTTTGTACCAGAAAATGTGTTCCCTTGCCCTACGACGTTTGTAATTAGAGCACTTCTGCAGACATCTAGGCCACGCTCGCCGAATATCGAGATAAGTGCGATGTGTTGTGAGAGAGAGCGCGAACCGGGGAGGGGCGAGACTGAGAACGGACGCATCCAGACGACGCGACGATGCAGGACGCCCTCCGCGCCGGCCACTTTGCCTTGGTCACGTCACGTCACTGCGCCGCAAGGGATGTGCTGTACCTCGCTATGTGTGCATTGTGTAGGGAAGAGGGGGTGGTGTTTGCTAATTTCCCGCGGTTGCGCGCAGACCATTCGTACTGAAATACGCGATTCACCTTTACGATGCCACTCCGCTTTCTTGAATCTTTTTTTGTGTGCGGTATATTGTAAGTGCAGCATATGAGCGGAATCACAAGAGGAGGAGCATAAGAATAAGGAGGAGTGATAGCGTGAGGGCATGGCCCGTAGTTTGCGACATTGCGCCCACTAATGGGAATTGCACCTGAAGAAACGAACAACCAGAGCAGCCACCTTCGAAATCTGTGACCCAAACTAGTGTTTTTTGACATTGTTGCTGTTTAAATGGAACGAGCCATCATCGGTACCTAGGCGCTGTCTAAACACAATCAATACTCATTAGGACTGTATCAAAATAAGACAACTTTGAAAATGAAGCCAACTGTTGTTTATAATTGTGGCGCAGTGAAGCCCACATTTTATCCTCTGTGTTATAGTGTTTTAAATATAATTTTTCGTCATCAAAGATGTGCGAACCCGAGAAATCGCGGATGATTGCAACAGAAGTGAACATGTACCTGTCTTCCTGATTTTCGTGAAAGCTGGTCGACACTTTGTTTGCGTGAATAAATGCTGGAGGAAGATGGCCATGCGGACGCTTGACTTTTTTTATGTTTAATATTCACGAAGGTTAATTGTTATTACAGTATTTGTTAACAGATTACTCTTAGACCTGTTGGTGACAGAATAGAGTTTACAAGATTGATGTGAGATGTCTTGTACAAGCCAATAATGTTGCTTCAAACGTTCTTCAAATTGGTGATGCGTTTTAATGACGATTTATTGTATATTTTAATTGCGATAATGTTGAATTGTTTATTTTAGATATTCTCCAAGGTCTCGAAGGTTAAAAAACGGAGGACCGTGCGCTTCTTATTCACCACTCGGATTGCGAATGAGATTTGTGCTCCGGGCATTTATTGCTCCGCCATTTCCAGTCTGTTTGAAGACGTAAATTCGGAAAATATCATTCCGTGGGAATGTTGGAATGTTTATAGCAAAGCACTCCTTTATTTGTTTTTTTTGACATGAATGTACTGAAACGGTAGATCTATTTGTGCCCACGCTCCTCCCTCAGAACTTACATTAATTTAGACATCGCGGTGGAATGCGTGATAGGTTGCAGTTGCCTATCGCGTTGGAACGATAAGGTAAAACATCATCGTCTCTCGAGCTTTTTGCATCCGTAACCACTGGGAGGAACGGACGCCTTCGGAGCTGTCTGCGCTGTTTAGGTTGGCGCGGCGCTTCAGGATGAACGGAAAGCGGAAATGATACAGTAACACTGATAATGTTATTGAAATATGGTTAAAAGTGTATTCGTTGGTCCTGCGAATATAGGTCCCTCAATTGGGATATGATGACAGGACTACGCAGAATAACTGATCACATTATGGATGGAATCTGTGAAAATAGTGCGACGCAAAAGAGAACAGTTAATGGCAACTACGCAACTAAGCAATAATGGATGTTTCCGCTGCGCGATTCTCATTCAACTAGCTCAGACGGCGAGTGTTCTGTTATGGTTAGAAAATCATACTTAGGGCGCTTATAACTTGGTTACAAATACTTGACGTTGCCAGATCTACAGAAAAGCATGTTGAGGATGTATCCACAACGAAAGTAATGAAAAAAAGCTTGGGAAGTTTGATAAATTAGAAAATATTTTTGGTCAAATGTGAGAAAATAAAACATTCGTAATACCTTCCTCTTTTCGAAAGTGTAATAAAGCACCTTAATGGAGACACTCCTGTTTCGTATATTAATCGAAATTTACTGGCTGAGGGAGCTTTTTATCACGCCCAGATTCCCGCATGAAAGTATTTGGAAATTATGAAGTGAGCACCACTTTTTTTATTCCATTACGAATGCTTGTAATACTTATATTGTACGTACGTTCTCAAAGAGACTGTTCTCATAGAGAGCGGAAGAATTGACATCGGTGAGAGAGAAAAAACACATCAAAGAAAAGGGAACTGGCGAAACAAACATGCACGACGAACCGAGAAGCTTAACTAAGAGGAGAAAGCGAAAGGTTGAAGATACTAAATGAGATGCGAAATCAGGAAGAAAAAAACAGAAGGCAAATGTTCACGGTTCGTTCCACAGTGACAGAAAGATTTATTTTTTGTTTGAAAAATCCTGACTCTGACATTAGAAATTCACTACTCCAGGATGTCGCACTTTTCAACGGCTTTGTTTTGCTGTGAGGACGGTAGTTTTCTAGCTGTTTGTATATATTACATAAATGTATATTATTGATAATTTCGTATTGTTAAATTACTAGACTTTTTCTAAAAAGTAACTAGCATAATTGTTATTATCATTATTATTATTATTATTATTATTATTATTTTTATTTATATGCAGTATTGTTGTGAAGTGGAGTGAAAATGTGGAAGTTGAGTGGAATGCCGTGAAATGAAGTGGAGTACTTTGAAGGTTCACTCGGTGAAATTATACATTATTTTATAGAAATTATAAATTAGAAACTTGTATTGATGATGGATGTAGTGAGGTACATTAATATAAAGTTAGGATGTTCGCCCGCCACATTCATTTATTTGCCTCATTAATAATAAATCTAAATGGGATTACCTTCAATTGATATGACGAAATATAGTTTCGTTTACTCCACAGGGCTTCATGAAATTGCAATGTTAATTGAAAGTAGGTTCTGAGGCTGAAAGCGAATGAAACGTTATATTTCTGGTAGACGTACTTCAGCTGTTTCTCCACTCTTCTTCCCGCGAATTTTCTGCTCGACCTTCAATGTTCGACTAGTTTCTGTTCTCAGCTATTTTGCCATCCGTCGACGCGTCAGCATCACCATTAACTTCTTCATCATCATCGTCATCATTTTCACCATCAAGTGGCCTGCTATATGACCAGCTGGTTATTTTTTCTGCTCGTTACATAACCTTAGTTAAGCATATCTTCCATTTTTAATTTACGCTATCAATACAAGTGTTTTCGGTACCGTTCTCTCTTCTTCTTCTTCTGTTGTTTCCTTAATAACATCTTCCTTCTCTCCAGTTTATACCGAAGACATTTCCTTTCTCATTTTAGAATTCAGTGAGCGAATACAGCTGGTACGTTGAAGTGTGTCTAAGTGTATTAGGTAGGATTACGTATAATAGTCTTAAGAAGCGTGCTGTATTGAAGGTATAGGATTACATCTAATTTTACACAGAAATGTGTCATGTAAATGTAAGAATTCAGGAACATAGAGAAAAGAAGGGCATACAGACTTAAGTTCCTTCTGAAATACGTAAATGTAATCCTGTGGGTACAATTACCATACTTTGTCTTGCCAGTTCATTGTTTTGGCCGTTTGAACAGGCATTCGTCAACAATGTAGTAATTAACTTATAAGAAAGTATCTCCCATATTACTTTGATGACAATGTGCCATTATTTCAGTGGGGTGGGGGAGGCTAACAATTTCTCTGTCAAACGTTCACTTGCCGACCTTCCCTCGAAATAAAATCCTGACCACCGCCATATCGGGCGCCATTTGGTTATTCATTTTAAGAAGACTTCGTGCAATTCCGTTTCGAAGGACGCACGTGGACCGCATTGGCGCTGGTGCGTCCCTTTGATGCGGTTTGTGGAGGACTAGATTAAAAAACAAATATTCTGCCTGCTCAGCAGCAACGTTTTACTGGTGTTTCCAAATACAGTGATTTTATTTTGGGGAGATAGCGCATTCGTCAGGCTAGTAACCTTTATTCATGTGATGCACTAAATAATGAAATAAAAATTATATAATTATGATTTTTCCCGTTCAGTGTTGACTTCAATATTATATATACATTTTATTTTGAAATTTATTTAATCTCCCTGCGGGTTCGGTAGCATAACGGTTGGCGTATGGTGCTGTTATACCCAATACGGGTTGGCGGGTTATACCCAATACGGTTTTGCGGGTTCTAATCGGATCGAAGCCGTGCCTTTTAAGAGCGAAAAATTCTCCATACGCGTTACTGTGAACGGGAAGTAAAGTACCATGTTGTAGACGTACGGCATGCAAAACATCCTGAAGCCTAAAGGAAGCCTCTGAGCTAAATTCAAATCGCCTCTTTCCCCACTAGTGCGTGAAAGGAGCGTAGCGTGATGGTCCGAGTCTCGCCACGTAAAAGAAGGCACGCATTAACCAAGCAACTGGACACGACGCAGCCTTTCCCCCGGCGCGAGCCTTCAGGTGGAGCGCGGCGGCGGGGCCTTATCGGCGTGGCGCGCCGTGACGTCATCGGAGAGGAACCATCATGTGCGCCTGACGTCGCGTGGGCGTTTCCGGGCCTGCGGGCATGCAGGTGCCTTTCCCGCCTTCCGACGCCGGGAGATGGGCTTTCACGACGAAGAGCTTCGCGTTTGCATAACGGATTCGAGCAAGAGAATGGGCTATCTAATGGAGCTATCGTAACACTTAATGACTGGAGAGATGGCTTGTTTTCAGTTTTGGAGACGGAAGTCGCGACGCCGTCGGATGTGGCGCTGCCCGCAAGTGGGCGAGAGTACCTGCGATCGGAGCGTTCGTCGATGTTTTAAGGGCTGACTTGCGTTTATCTTAAGAATACCAAAGAACTGTGATGGGAGAGGAAGCCACATTTTGGGCCCAGAAGCTCAAGGTTTCATCCCAGCAGTTAATCAATAAACCAAAGAAACGATGAAAAACCGATTGTGACCAGGTCACTGACCCAGTAGGAAGTTGGGAAGGGCACTAGCAGTATCTTTGAGGGATAATACTGTTCCAATATGTACTCGCTTTGTTGGTATTTGCCAAGTTTCCTGCAATATAACACGAAATCGCTATTTCGTTTTTGATATTTACACGTCACCAGAGGTTATATGAGTAAAATTCCAACGGAATGCTACTTACCAAAGAAAGGCAACTTCGCTTTTTATACATTTTTATTTCGTAGTAAATGTGCATGAAGTCAGCAATGCAAACACATGACAATTCATTTATGGCGTATAGAAAGGGAAGCTGTGTGGTGTGTTTTTCATGGAATGAATTATGGAAGACAAATGAAAGTGCAGATCTCTTCGCGAATGTTTGTATACCCTTTTGTTCATTAATTTTAGCGTCACCACAATTTAATTTAACATCTTGTTTTATGTGATTAATCATACTCAATTATCCTACCTATAGTATTTGGGTAATGTGCATGTTTTTTTACCGCTCGCTCATCACTCACGCTCAGATCCCTTTCGCACAGTTTGAGACGAGCGTGGTGCCATTCGACCCTTTGGTCTTTTTATCCTAATTTTAAGAGCCTCAAATTAATAAATAAGAAAATACTCGTTAAACAGTTTAGACGTTCGAAGGTGTCTCTGTAAACTATTGCCAGCATTTGATTATTGAGTGTAAACGATTGTATACAATGTATTGGGGCAAATGTATAGAATACATTTTCCTTTGAACTCTGTTGTTTGCTGTTGTTAATGCTGGTGCGTAGACTAAAATACAAACCGCTTAGAGAAAGGCCACGTCATAAAAATTCTAACACGGTTATTGAAAATATGCTCCCACTTATTTTCACTGCATTAAATTGTAAATATAATATTCCCCACATCTTTTGTGTGGTTTTTTAAATGCAATTTGTGCAGTGGATGGATTAGTCGTTAACAAAAGTACAGAAGTATTTGGCTGAATATTTCTTTTCATGGATCATAAATGATTTACAAGGTGACATTTGCTTTGTTCATGAAGAGAATGGATGCGTTGAAATATTTCGCAGTACTCTACCTGTGCAACAAGAAATCGTGGTTCATAACGTCTTTTAAGTAGTGATGTTAATTATTATAGCCTTTAAATTTATTCAATACTTTAGTTTGCTGCTGAGCCGTATGCGGATTAACGTGGGAGGGGGACTGGAGCTGTGCCTCCATAAACAGTTGATGTCCCCTGCCACTGATCGTAGGTAGGTAGCGTATTTGAAATTTGCTCACTTTGAAATGTTCAGGTCAATGGATGGAATCAATTGAAACGGGAAAAAGAAATTTTATTAGGATTCATTGAAAGGTATACAGTGTGTGTACTGCAGGGAACTAGTGGTGCTACAACAGCACGTACCTTCTGGCACTGTTACTAAGTATGGCGAGAAAATGGAAGTGGTTTTCGTTTCTCTTGCCAATTCGCCTGTCGCAGTCTTTTCCAATTCTGGTTTCTTGCATCCCCTGTTTGTTCTCTTGTTCCTTTTTTGAAATGTTCGATGTCACCCATTGCGAATTCGCGCTCTGCGGCTTTGCTCCGATTTGAGAGGAAATCGCGTTAGTACATCGTCGTATTTACTCCGTGCTGCGATGTGAGGCAGAAACGTTCCCATCGCGCATCTTTTTATCTGCAGGAAAGCGCGCGCTGGCCGCGCCCACTCGGATAAAGAATCCCGCCCGAGTGTTATCTGCGCGCTGCGTCACCCGGCAAATCACCTGCGGCGCTTCTCGGAAGCTGCGCGACGGGCAGCGCTCGGGGCGGGGCGCGCGCCAACGTTCATTGACACCCGGCTGACAGCGCCAGTGCCAGTGGCGGGCATGCGCAGGTGCGGTGGCCGGTTGGCGGACGACGGGAGGGGAAATGCGTGAACTTTTCGTTTCTTTTAGCCTGTTCAGCGTGATTAATCTGTTCTATTTATTGTACAATACTTAATGGCTTATTACTGATACTAAAGAAATAACGTGGAAAATATTGTACACACAATACTAGATGAGTACACACGTGATAGTTGTGGACCGCTTTTCCTTTCACATTTAACGCATCTCAATCGATAGATGAATATACAGGACGGCCAATGAAAGGAGGGAACGAGCTAAGACATCTAGAGATACAACAGATACAACGGCTCAAACCATGTTAGGGATAATATATAATAATAATGAGCTGCTTTCTAATTATACGTATGTAATGATTATAAAATTGACTATTTTATGGAAAATAGCGCCAGCTAATGTGAAGGATTTTATATTATATTTCTCTCTTAGAATTGTCCAAGCGAGAATCAATATCAGTAGACATTTTCGTATATATTACGTTGAGCAATTATTAGATCATCGTAGCAATGGTATAATCGCAGAGATGACATACGACCGAGTGACCCACAGGTCGGAACCTGCACTCCCTGGCGCTCGGCCAAACGTCCTTCGGGTATCGGTTTTCATTTCTTTCTGTTGCGCCTAACGATTGGCGGTTGAAGAATCTGAATGACACGGAAAATAAAGAGATCTGATGCAACCCACTTCCACTCTTTTCTTTGCTGGGATATTTTTTAAATGCATGGTTTAATTGCGATACTGTGCAGCAGCTTTAAAAACGAACATCATGATTGTCAGAAACTGATTTTTAATTCTTTAACATTCTCATTTTTTCTGGCAAAGTGTCATTTCATGTTGTGAATCGCGTGAAAAAGTAGGTGCAGTGTGGTTTTATGGGATAAAGAGAGCGGAAAAAGTTGTGAACACTTTTGAAAGCGTTATTTTCAGTCGTTATTTAGTGACTATTTCGTTACTGCGTGTTTGCGGGCTTGACCACTTTTTTGCGGTTTTGTTGCGAATATAGAGTGGGATTTTTATTTACGTTTTTAATATTAATGTCGGGCGGTGAATTGGAATATTTGAAAATGCAATGGAGGGCAGCGCTCCATATTTCCGCCTGCAGTAATGAATTCTCCTTTAACAGATAAACGCTATCGGTTGAGCAAATTGTTTGGGATCGTTGGCTAGCAGAGGTGTGAGTGTTCCGTGAAGAGATTGCTCTCGCCCGAGACGCTTTTTGATTAACGTAGAGATTTCTGCGGAAGAAGACTCCTTTTTCTTCTGCTATTTTTTGTTCGGTGGAAATGACTATCAAATGTTCATAATAAATTAAATGGTTGAGAATCGGTTATGCATAACAGTTGATTGATTCGGAAGTCTTGTTCGAGTTGTTCGTGCATGTCCAATTTGATTCACCATAGTCGGACTTCACTTAACTCTTTGAAGGGAATATTGTTTGTTCTTGTTGAGATTGCTAAAAACGGATTCATGAAGATTACGTTGTCGTAACTGATAATTTGGAATGTATTACATACTAATGTTGGAGAAAAAAGGAATTTAGTAATTTGTCCTTTCATTGTGTTTTAAATGTAATAGAATATTTGAAACATCGGACAAGAGCTGCATCGAATTGATCTCGTTCACGTCGAATTAACTAATATTCCACTTTCCACCACTGAGCGAAAAATCAGTGCTTGCTCCTGGAAATGATGAACGCCGCGTATGTTTTCAAGAAGTTGTGTTTTCTGGTGTTGTGTAGACAATACTCACTAACAAGCTTAGCTTGTGTATTAATATTATAACAGTAATTAAACTTTAATATAATTCCAGTTTTGAGCCTGCAGTCGTTCCGAGGTCGAATTAATAAATTGTTGGATTCGACGCCCGTATTGGGTCATGTCAGATGTATTGTCAAGCGCAGTTGTTGTTCGTTTCAAGAGTGGAATAGTCACTTAATTTTTCGTCATCCTGGATATGTTTGGCAAATTATTTAAGAATAACTTGTTCCCACGAAATTTCGGCGCTCTTTCATGGTGACTTTTGTAACGAGACGTATAGCTAACGATTATGAAGTGAAGACCTCCGGAGTAGTAATGATAACCTACAATCTTCTATTTTTAAAGCTTCATATTGGAAATGAGGATTGTTATTTTTTACTCAAGAGACCCGGGGTTTCTTACATATTTAAAAATATATAGTTCTTCTGTGACGTATTATATTTGTAAACTACGTGGAGAGTCGACAAACAACGGTCAACAGAGGAGAGCTGTAATGGAGTTATTTACAGCAAAAAGCGAAACTCATTTTGAGAGTTATCATTATTTACGCGCATGGTCTCCAAATATTAAACATACATTTCAGTAACTCTTTAGGCTTGCAGGGCCTATTATTGATAGATTATTTCCTGTTCCCGGAGTGTCATCTGCTAAGATTACTACTCCCGTAAGTGTAGTGCATGGGTTTTTGCTCGGGAGGTGGCAGTGATCTTCCCCGCTGGATGGCGAGATTTGCTCGTCGCCTTGCTCGTCGCCTTGCTCGTCGCCTTGCGAGGTTTTCCCCAACCAGGAATCTCCCACGCGCGTGGCACCGCTCCAGCCGTGACAATCTGCAAGCGACCGGTCCCCCGACAAGTGTGAAAGTAGTGCATGCGAGTGTAAGTGAGGGATGAGGATAGGGCAAGGAAGAAGGAGAGATCGCACGTGGTTCGTGGCCCGTTTGTTAGGCTACTGCTCCGGCATTCGCCTGGTATTTTAGGGAAACACCACGAAAAACCACTGATCCGAGTACCCGGCCGCTAGAACTCTCCTCCGGGAGCAGCCGAATTCGAACTAGCTTAGTGTCGAAAATCTTTTGCCTCCGCCGGGGCTCGAACCGTAGGGCCTCCCGGGCAGAGACACTGCAGTGTCATCAATGGATGCCCTGAGCCACCTCTCCCGGTTTGTGGCGATTGATACTCGAAACTATTCTCCATATGCACTGCAATATGCTCTGAGAACCCAGGGCCAATTATTGTGTAAAGGGGTCGTCGAAAGGGCCCGTGAAAGGCGTCCTTATATTTTCCCTTTGCTTTTCGGCCGGGACTACCTTCAAGGTTTGCCCAGCCCCCTTTACCGATTGCCATCTATAGGTACCCGAGGGGCCTGCCAGGGCCTTCCGCGGCCACAGCCATTTGACGTCCCTCCTATGCGAATGCGATCGGGAAGCGTTATTCACATTGAAGGAGCCGAGTGGCCGCATAATAATTATAAGTTGGATGTTTAATGCCGTGTCTATCAACTGTCATCACATAATACAATAAAGAGAAGGCAAGGAGACGTGATGAAAGAGAGAGAGAGCGAGCGAGCGATGAGAGTTAATGAGATGGAGAGAGGGGGAAGTGTCGAGTTGGACCTGTGATAGTGCCAGCGGCTTCCCAGGGCATCCAACTCTCCAGCGGCATGGTGACAGCTTCTTGTGCGTGTATGGCTGATGGTCCGGCTGGTGCTGGTCATCCCGCTGATTTCAGCTTTACACTGTCACGGTAATTGCCGAAATCTTTCTGAACGCACCTTTTAGAAAGGAAGCAACAACATGTTTTCCATTCCGTAATGGGAATGCGTGAAAACCTCTTGTACGTGAATTACGCTTCTCAATAGCATTCGCGCAGGGGACACATCACAACCGCCCCCTTGAGAATTCTTCCTAGTGAGAGGACACGGGGAACACTCCCCGAACGTCACCCGAAAGCCCTTAGGTCCGTTTCGGCCTTGTACTTTTACACTTCGAGGTAGCCCGTGGGTCCATTTCAGTGTGGGTACTATTGATGCGGGTGTCGGAGCCAGTTCCTCATTCTCGCTCACAAAAAACGTCCTGTGCGAAGAAAGAAAAGATTAGAAATATCATAACGACCGATTGCAGAAACGACCTCTGGAATTATAATTCAGGAAGGAGCGGCAAGAGACCAAACTCCTCAGTTGTAGCCGGAAATTCTCTCCACCTGGTCCGGAACACAGACACCCGAGTAGACCAAGATTCTGTTGTAGACTTGCAATTTATGATGGACTGTTGTTTCCGGACACGTCAACTTCTGTGGCCTTTTGACACATTAGTGCAGTTTTTGTTTTATTTCGAGAGATGGCGGTGCTCCTCCGCCACTGGATGTTGAGATCGGCGGCGATCTACACGTCGGTGTGTGGGCGTTATAGGAAGCTTCCCCAGGCGGGGCACCGATTCAGCTCGCGACTGGTGACCTCATATGTGTGATAATATACTGCTTGTAAGTGAAAATGTGTAAATGTGCTGCTCCGGCATTCGCCCGGTGTGGATCGATGAAACCACGCAAAGCAACCGATCAGAGCAGCCGGCCGCTAGAATTCTCCTCCAGGCAGCGACTGAACTCGACCTAGCTGACAATCCAGTGCCGATGGTCCTGCCACCCATGTCACTCGAACCTAGGACCTCTCGGTCAGAGTTGCTGCCGAGTCAGCAGCAATGTTGCCTCTGGGCCAGAAATAGCCTGTTTGCTATGAATGCTAACGTACGCTGTATATTTCAAACACCTGCTGAAATTTTTTACACCCTCTGTGCTCCTTCCCGCCAACTTGTTTCCTTTAGAAAGAACATGAAAAGACTCTCCGCCTTTTGATCTCTTCTGCTATGGAAAACGTGCTTTCGATTTCGACTACATTGTTTGTACGATGGGAATAGTTATGTTAGGCCAGCGTAAGGTAAGGCGAGCTATTTTGCAAACATGTGGTCGTAAGTGGTATGTGAATTTTGTCTTAAAGCGATAAGAACGGATTTTAAACAAATCATTATAAGTGAATGACGGGTGTAGGGTCTATATCCTTACGACAATTGCTTGGTCAGGCTAGAATGAATGACTACCAAAAATGTGTTGAAACACTTTATGACTTGTCAGAGTAGTGTCAAAAATATGAATTCTGAACGAACAGAATGTCTGATGTCGATGATTGAGATTAAGGTAGCGGTCAAATGACATTTTGTTAAAATTCGAATAAGTCAGTTCATGAAATATCATGGATCCTGCAAGGGTTTTGCGTTTCCTTTGGAATGAGAGTGGCCAGTTTTCTTCCACATACATATACCTTACAATAAGTAAATACCAAGAAAATAATTTTAGAGCAAACTAAACTATTTCTACGATATACACAATCATTATTATATCTTCCCTTTTGAAGAGCCTCTAGAATTCCACATTTCCTCCCTCTCTTTTGACAACTTTTATTCTAGGATGAACCTTATTTTTGAGTGCGCTGGGTAGTATGGCTGAACGTTCTGAAATTTGGCACTATGTGGGCTTCCAGCGTTATCAATGACACCCATATTTGCCGGGGACCGACACGACGAGGTCAGTCATATATTAACCATTACTTGCGTCGTTCCCGGGATGAGAGGAAAAGGGAATGTGAATAGGGTGGCCATTGGAGGGGATGTGGCACACTACGCGTTCGTAGGCTTCCCTCGGAGTCAATGCATTCTTGGCTATCCTTCTGAAGAAGGCCACTGCAAGATGGCCGAAACGTCAGCACTATTGACCGTCACGTGGCTCATCCCAAGAATGTAATGTAATGTAACACTAGTACGCTCCTAGCAAACCCCTGCGTACTACAGGGAGATTGCTCCCCAGTGTGAACACCTAGTGTTATTTTTATTTTATCCGAATCCCTCCGGCGTACAAGAACACGTTCGAGCTCGCTTCCCGATACGCCGCAACGCATCACCCCTCCAGGGCATCTTCCCTTTCAAGCCTGGGTGCCTTCAAGCCAGCCCAGAGCTACTAGCTGTCCGCGCTCTCACCGAAGTCTAATGAAGCGCCACTTACAATACGCCGGGACGATTCCCTACTCAATTGCCCAGGAGTATCTGGCGCTGCCACGTCGAAGCGAAGGGCCCGACTGGGGGCCGCCCTGACCCTGCCCAAAGGTCTGCGGGTAGGGGCCCAACTGGCGAGCCCGGCGACACGGAGCTTAGCACCGCCTTGACTCTGCACCCATCACATGGCGCAGCCGACGTGGGTATCGCCGGGAAACTCGGGTGAGGGTGGATGTTTCCGCCTCCGCGTCAGAGTCTCAGGCCTTTTGGCCGTTTGGAACACTTCGTTGAAAATTCATGACAGAGTCAGGTTTGAACCCGCGAGCTCACATTTAGGACGCCACACTGCTAACCACTTTTTCTTCTTCAGTCCTATCTTCCATATACGGAAGTTAGGTGACCCATAACTTGTTTTCTTGGGATAAATTATTCAGGGTGGTTTCCCGTTGCCTTCCCTGATATGATAAGGGTGAAAGAACGAACACAATACAACCATACCTGAGGCGGGACTCGAACCCGCGATCTTTCGGTACGAGATCGCTACGGCGCTACCTTAGCGATCTCGGCCACCGGATCGACGCATCTGGCATAGGTTGTTCGAAAATATTCGTTAATAAATTAACTGTACTTAGAATAAAAATATCTATAACTCACAACAACATTAGTATAGTTAAAATTAACGTGTTTGTCTCGAAGAGGTAAATATTAGTTTGAACGGATTTCTGGTTTAGTGAATTGTGTGTGTAGTTATGTAATAAACGTCCTCGTTTTTACTGCAAAGTAAATATTTCTTTCGGCCGTTTTTCATTAACTGCCTGCGGCGTACTGTAATTTGTTGTCCGTGAACAAGTATTTTTCTTAGTGTGAGCATTGTGAATTCTGTCGTCTGCCAGTGGCAACAGGCTTGACGTTTGTGTATAGTACGCTGAGTTGCAGTGACCCCTGCATTCGTGATTGCAAGAGAAAAGAAGAGGAAGAAGAAGAAGACGAAGGAAGAGAATAATTAGCAAAAGGTGAAAGAAAAGGATAAGCCAAAAGAGTGAGAACAAGGAAGACATTTTCGGAGAAAGAGAATGAAGAAGAGAGGAGGGAGAAGAAGAAGAAGAGGCAAAAAGAAAAAGGAGACTTATGAGAAGGAGGTGCGGGAGAAGAAAAAAGAAGGGAAAGAGAAAAAGTAGAAATGTGAAGAGAAAGACAAAAAGAAGGAGAGGAAGTAAGAAGGAGAAGGAAATGAAAGCAAAGGCGAAAGAATTATAAGAACAGGGAAGGAATATGTAGAGAAAGAGAAAGAGGAGGAGAAGACGGAGAAGAAGAAGAAGAAGAAGAGAAGAAAATGGAGAGGGGGAAGAATCAGAAGGAAGATATGAGGGGAGAGAGAGATGATGATGAAGAAGAAGATGATAAGGAGAAAAGATAAATGTAACGGAAGAAACACAAGAAAGAGGGAACTTAGCCCAATCCTGAGTGCTGTGCGTCCACGAAAGACGCATGCGTTGGGCGCTGAAGAAGCCCCGCTACAGCAGGTCCCGGCGGCTAGAGCGGAGCACCAACGTGGGCGTGGACAGCTGACGGTCGGAGGAAGAGGAGGCCCTGTCGGAGAGGCGCTCTGCCGGCGGACTTTGCCTGGGTATGTTAACCCGCGATTAGCGCGTCTGGGCCCGGGCCCGGGCCGGCGCCCTCCGGCGCGGCGACGCCACGCGACGCGCGCCCGCGCGGGCTGCTGCGGCGGCCCTAGGCGACGGGCGGGACGACGGATCGCGTTTATTTTCTACCTACTGCACAGAATGTTACGTAATGCTACAGGAAGAGAAAGAAATAATACTTGGTCCTATACGCAGTAAATAACTTTCTTGTCAAGTCAGAATCCACATTGTGTAGGACCTTGTTGCAGAAAAATTGGTTTACGGCGAAACGTCTGTCTGTCTGTCCCTCTGACAGCCTGTCCGTCTGTCCGTCTGTCCCTCTGTCCGTCTGTCCCTCTGTCCCTGTATCCGTCTGTCTCACTGTCCGTATGCTCATCTACCCGTTTGCCCGTATGTCCATCTGTCTGCTAGCGGCTACACCACAAGCAGAATTTTCATCAAAGTTGATATTCCCCTCACGATGTGGCTGGTGTCGCGGTCTCTTGAACCCGAAACGGATATTTTCCTTGCCACTGGCGTTCTCACACTTCTTGAACTACTCAAAGCAGCGCATCTGTGTTGGTGTGACGCAGTGTGTTTGAATTGCGCGGACGGAAGGGGTATGAAAGTTGTGTGCACTCAAAAAGAAATTTGGCCTCGGAGAAAAAGCTTGCAAAAATCTTTCACAAATAACAATGACAGTCTATACGACGTTTCTAGCGGAATTATGAAACATTCTGTTCTACAAAGTTCATTGGTCGATGTGAAGAAACCTGTGAAATTTAGGCCCTCCCTAGATTCGGCGCTCCCGCGGTGCGGCAAGAGAGTCTTTACGCGGTTTTACCTTCCTTATCTCTTGCTTTCCGATGCTCACATCCGATACAAACTATGCTTGTTGCGATAGGCATGCAGTATGCAGGAGCGTACAAGACAACTTAAAACATTTGGAGTCAGCGGTATTAAATTAAGGTACATTTAAATTTGGCGTTATTTTTGTCTTGTTTCCGTAAGTGCACGCATTTTGTGGTTACGAAATTATAATGTTGAACACACTTAAATTTACGACGCGTCAACATTTTTTAAAAACTATGTTTATACTATTATGTGTTTAAAAAAAGTTTGTCTTCTCTGAATTTCTATGTCGATTCCGTTCAATTATACACATTCCAGGGAACATTGGTGTTAAAAGGATTAGCCCTGAAGCCGAATTTAAGCCGTTAGGAGCAAATTGGGAGATACTTAAATTCATTTATTGAAATTGTATCGCCATTAAATGTCACAGTTCTTCGATTTATTCTAATGTAATGGGTATCGTTTGATATAAAAAAATTCTCTGCGCTTCTTATCTCTTTCAAATACACACACCCGATAGAATACGTGTTTATTCTGATAAGGAAACTTTGAGATTTTTACCGACCAGTCACCAACACACTCATTACTTTTACCGTGTTATCAAATTGAACTTCATTGAAATTGTATATTTTTTAATTGACTACTTATATCAAATAAATTAAATGTGAAAAAATGTAACTAAACTTGTATGACTCTCAATGTCATCTGTTACTAGCTCATCAAACAATTTTAGAATATGCCCTTCTGCTCTGTCAGAGTGGAGAAAGCACAAAAGTGGATTATGATAAGAAAATAATAAATATTATGTATCTGTATAAATCCAAAGATACTACGAATTATTAGATGACGTGATGGAATAACAACAACCATTCGCAAAAATAAGCTGAAAAAAGATATTCACTTGTACTAGTAAACAAATAGGACTTTTACAATTTTTTGTCAGTCATATTTTTATTCGACATTTTTAATGAACTTTGGTAAATTAATATTGTGCTTGGAAGGGGCTTTTAACATCTTCCTTGAATAAAAATATTTACGTTAGTCCGTGAGTGGTATGCAACCACTTCAGAAGACTGATGAATTGTTCAAATTGGCCTGAAAAAAGTCAACTGCGTCCTGTTTACTTCCTGAATAGCTGGCGGTCAGCAGTCCGCCCACAACACTGTTCGGAGTTTGTTTTCCAAATAGCATGCCCTGAGGCGGAAGTAACGTGGGTGGGACCTTGAAACTTTTCGATTAAAGCTCCCAATGCGGTGACGCTATTCCTAATTTGAGGTTTCACAGTGAAAAAGACGCGGTACGAGAATGCTACAGAGAACCAATACTACTCTGAAACCGTCGAAGTTTTTGTCATGTTTCAGGAACTCTTCTAATTACTAATACTCCTGCCCGTTCTTGACTATTGAAAGCGTTTGGCCTGTGTATTTCTAATATGCGGTTCCTTGAAGAGAATCGTCTTCCATTATGCCCGGAAAAGAGTGAAAGGGTGTTCACGAATACATATGTCTACTGATATCCGAACAAAAACAGCAGATGCCATTATTTTCGTTTCCACGTGAAATTGAATTTTGTCGTTTCCCTTTCCTTCATTCTCAGTGCAACTACTCATCCATTGCCGTGTCATTTCGCCGAATGTTTATAAAATACTTTTTAACTTTTATTTATTAATCATTTTCAACTACTAATTGTGAATTTGGATTTGTCTCTCATTTTTTTGCTGTTTTGTGTTTAAGGAATGCGAAATCTTTGAATATTTAATGAATAATTAATTGCGGTTTTATCGACATTTTCATGCTAATTTACAACACGTATCAATAATTATTAAATACTCTTACGAAGACTATTTTTCTATGGTTTTTATCCAGCTGTCAGGCGGTTACTCTGTACGCCCCAACCCCCCCGGGGCGCATTCGACCATACGCTAGCCACCTACTCACTTGCGAGTGCCTCTGATCTGGGGTCAACAGAACGCGAGACCCTCCACATACATGAGGGACAAATAACCATGTCCAAGCCAGAACTCGAACCCTCGACCCTTCCGCCTGAAGGCCCGAAAGGCGGTAAGCGCTCTTAACCCCCTCGGCCATCGGGTCGGCCTGGAGGCTACTCTAAAAACCTTTATTTCATTATAGAGTAGATGGCTACGTGGCGTTGCCGGGGTCTTTATTCGTCACAGTTACGCCGGCCCCTTCCCCTCGCCCCTCCCTCTCGGCCACGACCATTCCTTCCTGAGGCGCCTAGGACGTCCGGTGCCGACATCCAGCAACAATGCCTCCAAGATGCGCTGCGGATTGCTTTAAATTGGCGTTTTTTGGTAAAAACAACACACTTTGTGGAAGAATTTAAAGGCGCAATCCCCACAATTCTTTTTTCTTTGCTTTAAGTTGTCGAGAAACAATTGGAAGCAATAACTGGTGGTATTCAAGATTCTCATTTGTGAGATAATGCCCTCTTTGGGTGGCGACTGATCTTGCAGGGCGGAACTTGTCAACTGCATCTGCGTACTTGGGGGGTGACCCATGGTGCAGCGATGAGACTGATAACATTTTGGTGCTGGGATCGGGGTTCAAATCTCTCACAATCGTGTGAAGTTTGTGGTGGTCAAAGTGGATATGCGCAGGGTTCTCCAGTTTCCCTCGCCTTCCATTTCATCACTGCTCTGTCGTCATCGGTATCAAGTCTTCGTAATCACCTTCACATCAAATTTATAAACCTATTTTAAGGCGTGGCCGTAACGCCTACGTACAAGTAGATGGTAATAAGAAATGCCTTAGATCAGAACTGTCGACCAAGGTTCCGCTCGCCGAGTTGGCTCGCACCTCGCGATCGCAGCTCATGAAGTGGCTGTGACACATTGAGGCTTCAGAGTTGAAAGAGGAAAGGTGAAATTGCATGACTGGAAAATAAAGTACGGATGTTCATGAGATAAATTTCCTTAGGAATTTGACAAAGTTAGAACATGTTGAATAAAGAAAAATGAAAATATGTATTTTGAGAACATGATTTACATAACAATATATATTTTATTTTGTAGGCAATCTAGAAAATAATAACTCAGAAAAACATTACTATATATATCAATGTACAAGTACTATATACTTTGTTATATTTTATATTTATTTGCAAGTACATCGAAAAATGGTTTCAAATTTTTGGCTGCTACAAAGAAATGGACTGATATTAATGAATCATCAGACATATTATGTGGCGGTTTTTTAAGCTTCACGAGGAAAACAACTGGTCATAATAGTATAGAGAAACACTACGTTTTTTGTCCACTGAGCGAGCGCGGTCTGCTTCCGAAGCTACTCCTGCCGACGCCTTCGCCGGAACTTCCTTGGAAGGCTTTGCCCCTTCCCGTGCTTCATTGAGAATCGTTTGTTCAAAACTCGAGAAATGCAAATGACAGTTGAACCCAATACGAGGAACGATGAAACGGGCCAACGGGGCGATGTATAATCTTGAATTGCTTTTGCATTCTTCTTGAGGGTTTTTAAAAAGCCCTCCATTCGGCTTCCTGCGGCTGGCGGCCCCGCTCGCGTGCTTGGCGCGTGTAGCGGCGTCGCAGGAGTGAGCAGCGCGTGCCTTGTTGCAGGCGGCCGGGGGCGCAGCGCGATGGCCAGGGACGAGGACGCCGCGGTGGCCGGCAGCCCCCAGCAGCGCCGCGACGCCGCCCAGGGCGACGGCGGCGGCGGCGGCGGCGGCGGAGGAGGAGCAGCGGAGGGAGCCATGAAGAGCGCGGGCGCCGCCCCCGACAGCCCGTCCGCCCCCGCGCAGCGCCTGGCGCACGCGCACAGCGTCATCGCGCACCTGCAGCAGAACCTCGCCACGCAGCTCAAGCCCTCCACGGTGGAGGCCCTGCGCTCCGGCCCCGCGCCCCCCGCGCACCGCAACGGACTCGCAGGTACGCGCCAGCGCAGGGGGCTTTAGGCAAATGAGCCTCATGGCGTTGCAAGGGACTGCGACCGAGCCATTTACAAAGCAGCCGTAAGCGAACGCTCCGTGCCTGCACCTAACTTGCAGTTATTTGTAAGCAGCAGTGGCAAAGAAGTAGGTGTCAAAGCGGTCCTTCGAATACGGTCTCTCTCTATAGTTGAATAACACACGCAGGCAATGCCAAAATTCAATTTTTGAACAACCGGTACTCTGTAATAATTCCCCAAATATTCTTATTTTATTATTTCAATAGAGTAAATGGCTCATTAAATGAGCTAACATGTTTGTCCAGAAACTTTGTAGATAAGTTGTAGGTACCTATGTACGTAAGTAATCAATAAATAATGGATATAAACGTATTAAATCGCTATATACAACTCTTTTAAGACCAAGATTAGTATGCATGTAACTTACGATAATTCTTCCAAGATATATATGTTACTGATGCAATCTCACTTTCACGCAAAATAAGGACTTTAATGATCTGGGAGCTCTACATTTTGAAACAGGATGGTTCAGGAGAGTTACTTGTACATTGAAATTAATTAAAGCTCGCATGTTTAATTCCATATGATGGATGAAAGAAATTGAACATTGACAGTGTTCCCGATATAGTGTCGCAATTTATCAAACTTAAATGTAAAAACCAATATAGCTAAAAAAATTCGGTAATTGAAAACTAAATGCTTTTATCTTTTGCAGAGTCGGGTGCAGTAGGCGCCCCGTCGGCCGCGCCGTCGCCCAGCGCCCCTGCGCCCAGCGCCCCTGCGCCCAGCGCCCCTGCGCCCAGCGAGGCGGCGGCAGCGCGGCCGCGCGTGTCGTGGACGACGCGGCTGCTGGAGCGCCTGTCGCAGGAAGAGGCGCGCAAGAAGGACGCGGCGGCGCAGCGCGCGCAGCAGCAGGCGCAGCAGGTGCAGCTGCGCGCGGGCCGGCGCCTGGCGCGCTACCCGGGCCAGAAGGACTACGTGCCCACGCGCCTCTCCGCCCCGCCCGCGCCCCGCCCGCCCTCGCCGCCCTCGCCGCCCGCGCCGCCCGCCCGCGGCAGCGACGCCAACGAGGAGGCGCCCGACGGCCCCGCGCCCCCGCCCGCCCCCTCCGCCTCGCCCCGCGGGGACGGCTACGCGCAGCTCATCAGCGAGCTCACGGCCGCAGGGGACGGCGCCCCCGCGCAGCCCCACGCGCAGCCCCACGCGCAGCCCCACGCGCAGCACGACGCCCGGCGCGCGCCCACGTCGCCCGTATCGTCCGTATCCCCCAGGTCGCCCACGTCGCCTACGAGTCCAAGGTACGTGGAGCAAGATTCTTTTTAAAAATATACCAATAAATCTATATTGCAATATAAGAATGATTCGCTCCACATTTTACATCTCCATCCCCCAGATAAGCATTTTGCTTTCAAAATAACAATTCAGCGGTATTGCAATAAATTAAATAGCTAATAACGATTTTCTTAATACAATTAATGCAATATATTGGAATATCTGAACTTGATGAATATTGGAATATGCTTTTTATTTGAGGGATCAAAGTAAGTAAAAAAAAAACCTAATTGAGCGGTTCAGCGGGGGTTTCTGATTTAAAAACACAACCCGAAGAAATATACCTGCTGTGAGTGTGACGGGGAAGATTTGAAGCTTGGACGTCAAGATGCAATGAAATTGCTGATTAGATTCGTATTTTAAATGTACTGAACCAGGAATTTAAACGTCTTCACTGAGTTCTCATAATGGAAATTGCGACTGCCGTGCTGACGGGGTTGTCTGTCCTGCGCGCAGGTCGTCGGCGGGCGGCGTCTTCCGCAGGCGCCCGCAGGGCGACTTCTTCGTGCACGGCCGCGCGTTCGTGGAGGCGAACGCCCACCCGGTGCACGCGGGGCCCCAGCCCCAGCCGCAGCCGCAGCGAGAGCGCTCGCCGGCGCTCAGCCCCGCCGCTGAGCCCCGCGCCATGAGCGCCCCCGCGCGCCCGCGCGCCCTCGCCAAGGACTCCAGCTTCGACGAGGACAGCGACCGCTTCGACAGCCCCTCGCCGCCCCGGCGCGCCCGCCCCGACATCCCGGGCTACGCGCCGCTGCCCCGCCTGCGCAGCCCCGCGCCCAGCCCCACGCGCAGCGATGGCCACGCGGGTGCGTAGCGGCGCCGCCCCTCATCCTCTCGCTCTCCTCGTTCTGCTCCTCTGTCCTCCTCTCCTCACCCACCTCCTCCTACCCTCTTCTCGTCCTCCTCTCGCCCTCCTACTCTCGCTCCTTCTCCTCTCCTTGACTACCTCCTCTCATTCTTTCTCTCACCCTTCTCACACCAAAAACTGCACTCCACGATCTTATGGGTGCGCAAGACTCATAGCATCAAGCGATAACAAATACTTCCTGATTTGTAGCTCGCTAGAAAGCGACTCGCTTGGCGTTTGTGTAATCATAGGCAGTTCAGAAAAACAATTTCTGTTCACATCTGTAATAATATTGATCTAATTGTGTTAACAATTTTCTTTGAACCCAACTGCCAAAGAGACTTCATGAGCTTGTCCTTTAATCACAACCCTCTCTGTGATCGACGAGTCAACGAGGAGGCTGTTGCTACCCCTGACTTTGAGAGTTCGTGCGTGCGTGGCTCCAATCCATCACACCATCACGCGGACAGCGCTCTGGGGACTGGCCTCTCGGCCTTCACTGGCCAGCTTCATTAGCTGCGGCCGGAAAATGCGCCCTGAATTTCACGCTACAGGGAGTGATCCGAATCGAGTTCACGGAACGATACTCGTATACTCTTTTCCCCCAAATATGCGCTGGTATGAACTCTTGATATGAAAGCACATTAGGAGACTAGATAGTATACGTTTCATAAATATTTCGTCAGGCATGCAAAGTGTTGAATGCTATTAATCTTTGCCAATAATTCATTTTGGAGTCTCTAAGGATTAGATACGAAAGAACGGTATGTTATAAACGGTAACTAGTTTTACGGTATGTTTGGGTTACTTCTCGGTTAACATGAAGTCACTACAATAATTGTAATACTTAAATTGCTTCTAATTCACTGTTACGTCAAATAGTGTTCAACTGCAACCCTATTGAATGCGAGTGAAAATTCATTTGTGGAGAGTACGTTAACAAACCTCACATTTGCGTTACGAGTATTATGCCAAAAAGGCGGCTCAACACATTCGTTATTCGGCGAGTAGCAAGCAGCCGCTTGCCAGATCACAAGTAGTGTGGATGACGGTGCTCGCCCTACTTACTGCGTGCCGGCCTTTTACACACATGAAAGAAAGCGAGCGTTCACCGAAAACATCAGCTGTTCCGGATTGGTCGAACATTAGCTCGCTGCTCGGCAAATACCGAAAGTGGGGAGCCGCCTCAACATAAATACTGTTATCAAAGAACTTCTTAAAACTCTTCTTCTTCGCTGACATCTTCGTCTTTGATCTTTTCTTTTTCTTCTTTCATCTCTTCTTCTCCTTTGATCTCTTCTTTTTCTTTGATCTCCTCTTCATCGTCCTTGACCTCTTCTTCATCTTCTTGTCCTCCGACTTCACCGTAGTGGGCATCTTTTGGAGCCTCTCCCTTCATCATCAGAGCCCCCGGCCGCTGCTGTCAGAAGGAGTTGAGAGAACTTCGACTTGACTTTCCTCGTCAATTACGAAGGGTCGTTGGTTTCGTGTCCAATTTTCTTATCCCTCCTGTAGCAGTGTAAACGTTTGCCGAGCGCCGCGCGGGGGCGGCCTGGCAGTGCAACGGGGCGTGTGCGCTTGCGGTTGCAGGTGCGGGCGGCAAGGGCCGGCAGCGGTCGCCGGCGGAGGGCGTGGGCGAGGGCGGGAGGCCGCGCTCCGCCAGCCCGCGCACCGCCCGCAAGGCGACCGGCGGCGGCGGCGGCGGCGGCGCCCCCACGGGCCTGCGCCGGCTGCTGTCGCCCGGCAGCCTCTTCTCGTCCTCGTCTTCGCCTTCCTCCTCCGCCGCCCGGGAGCGGGAGCGGGAGCGAGAGCGGGAGCGGGAGCGGGAGCGCCGCCCGCTGCTGGGCTCCGCCCGCGTGGCGCCCGCCCAGCGCTCGCCCGTGCTGGAGACCGCCTTCCTCTCCGACGCCTCCCCCACCAAGCAGAACCAGGTACGCCTCAGGGACCTTCACTCACGGGACGGATCGGCACTTTCCAAACCCCCCTTAACTATATTACAGCCGATTGACGTTGTCTACAAATATCAAATTCAAAAATACTAATCAACAAATTGTAATAACCCAATGTGGAAACCGTTTGAATAATCTTTATTTATTCAAAATTTTTCATTCTTAACATTGCTCCCACATAAAACAGTGAAAATATACCCGGTTACATTTATAATAGAAATAGATATAATAATAGTCTGCGATATAAATAGTTGGTGCATAAGAGACGTGACATATCACAAACTTGGTTTTTTAAATAAGTATTTTCAGAAAATAGAACTTTTTTACGTGTAAAATATTCGGAAGACTGTCGGGAGAGAGTAAAACTCTTGATTTTTGGCCTCGAATAGAACAGCTCGACTATGTGCAACAACCGTTGTGCAAAATTTAAATTTTTTAGATGTGAATTTTTTCTTGGGTTTTGAAGATGTGTGTGCACGGTGAGTCCCTTCCGGTTTAGAAAACCACAAGCGTGTTTTGCGCTATGAAGTGAACAAATGTTTCTTAAATTACATTGTGAAAAAACTAGTCGTTACTGCTCATCAGTTTATCGATGAACTGTCATGTTCCAAATCGTCCAGAAGTTTGTTCTTGTGGGGGATCTGATCGGTAAGCATTCTGTTTTAATGTCACCAAAGATAATATCCATTTTGTTCTGTTACAAACGAATAAAGAAGGAAATCTGTGAAATAAGAGATTTGGAAAGCAGATAGCAAACTACATTTCTGTATCGAACGAAAAAGTTGTGTCAGCACCTTCGCGACCGACGTTCAGGAACTGTAACGCGTGTTCTCGAGTATGAAAATGGCTTTTCGAGTTGATGTCAGCAGGGCTTTATCTTTCGAAAATATCATGATGGGTTATAATATTCCAATGTAATACAAGCTGCAAAGAAATTTGACAATCAATGAAAACACTTTCTACATGCTGCATGGGTCTAAGTAGTATTGGTAGAGAAATTAATTATTGGTAATATTGAAAGGAATCTAGTGTGTGTTTTAACCTCTAATAACTCCTATGTCATCGTTACAAATATCATTTTGTTTACAGGATGATTAATATCGTGGGAAATGTCAAAACCATTCTTAATGTTTCCAATATGTAATTGCTCTACTGATTTCGTCTCAGAGGTACGAGACGCGTTGATTGTACAATTTTGTAATTTTGGTAAGAATTGCGTCTCATCGGATGGGAATCATCTCACTATGCTCTTTTTCGAGACGTGCTGTTCGCTAATATACTTGGGAAGGCATTCGCGTACTCGGAAAGACGCACGACTGTTACGACACTTAGATGTCAAGAGATATTTACAGAACAGAGTTAGGCTTCGATTCGAAAAGTGGCTGTCATTTGCATTCACGTTTCCTCAATTCACAAGTTTTCATTTTTCGTCGTTTGTATTCGAAGAGCGTAGATACTCTCTTCAGTTATTACTCCCTCTGCCTATGTTTGCTCATTCAGTGCACCACTAGCAGAAGCCTACCTGTGACTATCGCTGAAGACTATTTAGTAATAACGAATTACATCTCATTAGAATAATAATATTTCTTTCACCATATCGTACACATGGCCGTCAGTCAATCATTGCCATTATACAGATAGTACAGAAAGGAATATTGTGTTGAATATCATATTTCTCTTCTTCTCATAAATTTCAGGTCATGTGACTTAATCCGGTATGTATTTTTCCCTTGATTTATCAATATTCCTTGTTTTTTCTGTAATTATTTTTCGTGGCTCTGTTAATTGACATTATTGTTAAACGATGATATTTGTTACGTTTTGTTTTTATTTTCATGAATGAGGTGAGGTATTTCTTTAAAATTTAGTTCATTTTCAATTGTGGAATTACCTTTCTTGTCGAGACGTTAGTGACGCGATCTGTATTGAAAGAAAAATGCAATTGATGTCCAATAAAAAGAAGCGAACGGTTGCAATCGCAATAAAAAAGCACAACGTTTCAAGGACACATCGCCGACGCAACGATCTAACGAGTTCTGTGACGGCACAAAGAGTCTCATTTGCCTACATGATGCAATACGTCCTAACAATACGCCGGCCTCCAGCAGGCAGAAACGCTCGGCGACAGCTTGTTCTTCCGGGTAACAAAAAGCAGCCATCTGAAGACTCCGGGCCCTGTTGCATGCGTTGTAATGACTCCGTATTAGTTCGTAAGAACTTCAGTTTCCTTGACGTCTATTTGACAAAATTTCCGTATAAAATCTGGACGAATAAATCATAGATCAGGTAGCCGCTATTTTCTTCCGAAATGGCAACTATTTTGCACTTAATACGTATACACTCTTCTTCTACATTCCGAAAATGATACCTCATTGGTAATAAAATATCGACGTTACGAAACATCAATACTAATAAAATCCTAAAACAGTACTAATAAGATACTAAAACAATTAATCCATTTACATCGATACTAAACCATCCATGTTTTTAAACACCAAGTGTTTAAACTACTTTAGTAATCTCTAACATTAATTGTTCGCGATTAATTTGACATTAGTCATGCCTATTAATTTAGAATTGAAATTTAACTGGCAAAACAAAGTTGAAAATAATCAAAAACAACATTTATCAAAACTCGGTGGAAAGATGTTCTATCCCGGTTCTTCGTGAGCGAAATACACGTAAAACAGTACATACCATGGCATCGGGGTCTCTCTGGGGTGAGAGAAAGTCTGTACGATAAAGATTAATACAAACAGCTTTCATTGGGTTTAACATATTAACTGACATTGTGGTACTACCACCTATGGTTTCATATTTTAGCTTTTAACTTTTAGTTAACAAAGTAGGGATTATGAAATTTTTTATTCACAAAGAAAACATCGGAGAGTGAAACACATCGTTGGCTTGAATTAATAGATGTTTGAAATATCCGTGTTTTCAAAACATGTACTTCGATGCAGCATCCCTAGTTCCTGAAGCCCGGCAGTCCGGCCAACAAGCGGTGTTCCACTTGTTCGACTCTTCGCCTTTATGCTCCCTCGCCCTGCTTTGGTTCAGGCTTTTGAGCGACGGAGCAAGGTCTGCCCAGGTTTCCATTAGTTCATGCTAACGAGTGAATCATGGCAGGAAACCGTGCTTATGATTGTTAGCCTAAGCAAACAAATTCAGCACAAGGAAGACTCAGTGGCTTTTTTCAACTCAAAAGCATTGCGATGTATTATTTTTTAATGTGACTTGTTATAGTATTTCATTTGAAAGGAGCTTTTGAATAAAATGTCTTAAAATATTTTAAGGTCACAAATTTTTTAATAAATTGACTATCGCGAAAACACGGTTTGATTCTTTTTTACATTTTGCAAGCAATTACAATGATAATGATTATTTCACTTTTTTGTACTACTACAAATCTGATTTGGTTTTCACATAAAATGAACAAATTGTATAAAATAACTTCAACGAAGGAAACATTTTAAAATAATTTAAAAGATTTATAGGGACCTTTTTTTATTTACGAACATAATTAATTTTATGTTCACGTAAAAACTAAACTACACGTGTCCCCACAAACCCCGCACGTGAAGCCGTTCCGTTACCCAACAGAGACTTGGGGCTTCGGTGATACCATCAACATTCCTCCATAGTGAATAGCAATCCGGCAGTGTTGTAGCGGCGGGCCTTGTGCGGAGTCGCGGTCGAAGGGAAGTGAAGAGTTGGCAGCCGTGGCCAAACAGAGTGCGCCCGCTGCGCGCCTTGTGTGGCCGGCCACTTCCAGCGCCTCGCGTGGGAAAATGCAGGGTGGGGGCGTGCAGGCGACGCGATTTGGCCGCAGCGACGGCGTCAAGTGGCTTCAGTGGCCAGAGGTTCCGCGCGGCCGACGCGGGTCTCTTGCCGGAGCTCCCCGCCCCCGCCCCTCGTACCTGTACTTGGCTCTTACTACACGCGCACGTTTCCTTCATACAGCGGGAGGGGCAGGGGCTGTCCACGTCACGGCAGTTGCAGTGCTCTCAACGTCATCAGCGTAATAGCGCGTCTTTGTCTAGATAGCAATGAGAAACAATGCAAGATTATTTAAAATTCTGAAGAAAGAATTAATAGATATAGAAGTAATTGACTAACAAGAATAAACATCGTACGCACAGATCGATAGAAATAGAAAGGGAAATGTAGCAAGTCCGCGTTGTAAAGGAAAAAGGTGGGCAGCACTGCAAACTGAGCCGTGACGTTTCGAGTGGAACTCATATTTTCTACCGGGCCGTGCTGTGTGGGGCTGAGCGAGAACTAGGGAGCCCGAGGATCTAGAAAGCGTCTAGTACTCTTCCCCGCTGTCGGTCCTCCGCGCCCCCTGCGCTTGGCACCGCGCATCACCCGTTACCGTCTTGCGCTCTTTGCATCGGACACACGGATTGCACCTGCAGCCCACCGCAGCCTCTGAGCCCGTCTCCGCCCCCGCGCGCTCCCTCCCCGCTTCCCCTCCCCCGCCCTCGCGCGCCCATTGTCCAACACGGGTCGTGTGCGGACGCCACTGCGTCGGGAATGTGCAGCGCTGCGGAATGCAAATGGTTTGACCGGCACAATAGCGGCCGTGTTTGCGGATGCGATTGCGAGTCTGCTGCGAATTTATCCTCCACAACACACACACGCACACACACGCGCGCGCACACACGTTGTCCGTGTCCCTCTCACTCACACAGATACCCAAACATACCACCACACGCGCGCGTGCTCACACACACGCTCTCTCTCTCTCTTACACACACACACACTCACGCTAATAGTGAAGATAAAATGAAATCAGTGCCATTTGTCGCTTATCACACACACACATATACATGCACTGACGTGCACAGAAAATTGCTTTACAAGCTGATATTGAAAAGTTGTAAGAAGGCGTTAAAAGGGTTTTTAGCAGCGATCATCATATGTCACGTAGTCCCTGCGAGTTACGGTTAAATGTCCAGACACTAGTACAATTTGTAGCC